TAATCTTAAAAAGGAGCCGAGTAATTGAAAAACGTTCTTTTCAAATAAAAATGAATAAATTAGGAAGGTGTCATAATCTCGGACCTGAACTAATCCCCTGAGGTAAATTTTCGCGGCAACCGGTCGTCTTGGGACTCGTTATTCACGTTATTTCCATATTTTGTTTACATCGCGCACTTGACAAAATTCACTCGTGGAAGCTCTTTCCTTATGGAAAAATCTTTGCTCATGGAAAAATCAAAAGCAGAAGAAAGTCCTTGGTAAAAAGCGGCTGGTACTGGTACCTCGCGGAGCTCCACGCCTGCGTCCAGATTTCGAACGAAGAGGTCGCCTTCAAACCAAATTTGCCATTCATAATGTTGAAAACGAGGTTCCTTTCATTTATGCAAATACCAGGCTTGATAAAAATCGTAATTTTGAAAGCTTTCGTTCGGTCCGTTGTCTTGCTCCTCAGCACATTTTCCGTTTTTTTTCATTTCTACCGCGGATTTTGTCGTCCTCCTTAACGCTCCACTCAGCGATCGAGATAAAAAAAAAGGCATGCGCCGGTTTCGTTACTCAACTGATACTCCCAACTGCGTGATTGCCGTTTTTAGAAGTCAGTTAAAGTGATCATATGCAGATTGCCGTCTAGTTTGCTTTTAACCGCCTCGTCGATTTTTTTGATTGTTGCGAGGTTGCGTTCCACAAGTAAACCTGATTGTAGGATGGAACGTATTGGTGAAGTCAACAAAGTTGTAAGCTTCTTTCATAGAGATGTCAATGTTCTTCAGAGGAAAGATTTCATTAAGAAATCTCTTACAGACCAAAGGTTAGAGGTGCTAGCCGTTAACAGTCGTTTTCTTGGTCTGCTCACTCCATTGTGACCGATGCGCGGGCTCGATGATAGCTTACGTGCAGCCGTACCCTTCCCTCTTAGCTCAATGAAAACCACGATAATATGTTAAAACATGATGCCCATTTCAGGTTAAGTAAGGAAGACTTCTTTAAAACAAGATGTTAGTTCTAAAAGATCGTGGAAGTAGATAGAATGGTAGGATAAAGTAAGCAGCGAATTCGGCATGTAAGTCGGTAGCGAACATGTGGCGAACCCGAACGTAGCGTACTCGACAAGTAGCGAAACCGGCTGTTACCGAAAAAAAAGAAAAAGAGTTTGCAATGGGTTGCTTTACCCGGGAAATCTTGATCCATCGTCAATGACGCCAGGAAGTCCCGTTATCCCATTGGTTTGCTGTTTCAGGAGGCGTGATAATCCGTTGGCGTGGCGCAAGTTGTTTGCGAACTTGAGCTAAAATTGGTAAGAATGCAATAACTTTGAGCGAATTTATAGGGTATCTAGATTTAACCAATTTTCGTCCAATTTCGCCAAAACATTCCAGGAATAATGACAAACGATATTTGAAATATTTGTCCCGTGATGTCCACTTACGCAAAACGCCTCGCATATTTTTAGCTACTCCAACTTTAGATGCCTATATCTAGACAACCAATCAGAATATCGAAAAAGCCTGACATACTTTTGTTGATTGACGCCCGCAAAGGTGGGAAGTAACCTTTAGGAGGCTCGATAGAGTTCTAGGTTTTGCTTAATGTTGGTGCACGCGCAGCGTGACGTTTTTCCGGAAAACTTTTATATTTTCGCTTTTCTAGGTCCTAAAGATCATAAAACGGCGATGAGCAAGGTTCGGACAATCGTTTGCTGTAGTAAATATTAACAAAATGATTTTCGTTTTCAAGCTAAGGCTCCACGAAGGGAGGCGCTCGCCATCGATAATTTGGCTTTGCCTTTGATTTTCTTCAGTTTGCTACGGTGAAATCTCGCAAAATTTTCACAATTTGTGAAATTTGTCCAGCCGATCATCTAAAAGCCGACAAAAAAAATAGGTGTTACATCGGCAATTTCCTGTGGATATGTGGAGCCAAAAGGTCATGGATTTGCACGCATACGTGTAGTGCTTTTGAACATACTTGCCTTTTCGCTGAGTTTTGTGACTTAACAGTCACCACCACCCGACGAAAATCATTAATCATAAGCATATAACGATCAGATTAAACGAATTCATTCTTTTTAAAACAGGTGGACAATCACAAACGGGCCGTTAAGATTTGGTGACCTCTACCTCTAAATAGAGGTGAAAGCGATAGGGAGACAAGGGAGGGGGAGCGGTTATAACTGGCATCTTTATATTTCTCAAGAGAAAACGAAGCTATCTACGTAATTTAATAATAGCCATCTGAACTGGTGTAAACTTGGCGTGTTCCAGGCGTTCACGGAGCGAATTAATAAACGGCGCGATAGTAGAGTGAAAAAACGAATGGGCCTGGGTCGGGCGCGTGAAGGACAGAATAACGCGGACAAAACACACAAACATCCTCAAGCTATGTCTTGATATCGTGGTTTTATTTTTTATTTTTTTTCAGATCACTATGGTTCTGTGGCAGACAAGTTCGATTACTTCTTTAAAGAATTTCATGAAGCAAATATTCCAATTCTGATAGAATGTTTGGACTTGCAGCCACATCACATTATAGCTGACATTGGTAGTGGGACGGGGATCATCGCCGAAAAACTCTATGAAAAGTGCGGACTGACCAAACCAATTTGGTGCGTGGATCCCAGCGTAGAAATGCAAGAAAAAGCGTGGAAGCGAAAAGGAACCTACCCAGTTCTGAAAACTGCTGAAGAATTTTTTTCTCATCCCGAAATCGCCCATTGCTTTGATAGAGTGATATCTATTGGCGCCGCGCACCATTTCGCAGATCCTGTCGCCGTCTACAAAAGCATCTTTCACTCTTTGCGCCCCGGAGGCATATTTCTCGAAGTGACCACAATGGACACAGGTTATCCATGTTTCAAAAGTGCGAAAAGAGTCGAGAAAGCAGCGGTGGAGATTGGCATCCAAAAGCGAAAACTTCTCCGAAAGCTCGTTGCAGATCCAAACGTACGTGTATCAGAGAAGGAGTATTGCTGCCCGATGTCTCTGACAAAATCCAAGTTGTATGAGATGTACCGATGTCGATACATGAGCATGCTTCATCAGTTGAATGATGAACAGATTGCAGAAGGAATCAGGGAGCTTGAGGATGGGCCGTTGGCGGATGTTAAGAGTTATGATCACATCAGCTTTACTCAAGTCATCCACGTAACAAAATTTGACCTGAACTGACTGAGTATGAAGCAGAAAAGTTGTGCCCCTTTGCAGGAGTATTCCTTGCGTTGTGAGTTTGCCCTCATATTTACTTAATAAAACCATTATTCAAACATGGCTATTTAAAAAAAATTATGCTTCCCATTTTAACGAATATCTTAGTTCGATACTTATCCAACTAGCTTGAATGTGTTATCGTAATAGATCTTTTCAACATTATTGACCCGGTCGAACGAGTGGCTGTATTTACAAAATTTTGTCATAAAATTTTCATTTTTCGAAAATGGCTCCATAGAAGACAAAGTTTTTTCACCGTCAAACCGATATCCAGCCCCCGACCCTGATTATTGATTTCCAACCAGCAGACAAAACTAGAATTGCCTCGATGAAACCAAAGGATAGAATTTTGTCATGACAAATTTTTGTCGCGTCAGTTGCATCCGTATTAAAAATTTCAAGTTGTCAAATCCTGATCTACTCATAAGAGTTGCCGGCATAGTTTGCCAGGATTCATCTTAGATCGTTTTAAAGTTTAATAATCCACAAGTTTCTCACAAAATTGGATCGAGTGGTTACAAGATTGCTTCTTGCCTCGATCGATGAAACAAAATTCCGCTGAAAAAAAGGGGCTAGAGTCGATCAAGATGCAAATTTAAGTTGGACAGATGACGAACTTGAAACTACTGCTCGGAGTCGTTTGTGAATATTCCTCCCAAAAGGATCCCGAAGGTTTATAATTAGAACAGGAGAGTTTCAAAAGCAAATACCAAGAGGAAATAGTTCGTCACGTCATATGAACAGAATGGATTGCCACAAGATCTTAGCCTGTTCACCTGAGAAAGGATGGCAAACTCTAAAGATCGCAGGCGGAAAAGTACCCAAATTCGTTCTTCAAATCACTTTCACTGATAAGCTTTCCGGATTCAAAAGCTTCCGGAGCCACAAAGTTTCAACGCTAAATTTCGGATTTAAAATTTCCGGGGACACGAATTGAGAGGGAGTTTTAATTTCGGATTTATTTACTTGTGTGTAAACGGCAAAACCAAACCCGTACGGATTCTTTACGAATCGGAACAATTTCTACGAGTGTAAACTTAGTGTGAATATAATTGTTTGGTATTAAAGTATAAAAAGACCATTCATGTTTTGGCGGCGGGAAGTCTGGATACTACACTAGGACCCAGACCATCACTTCGAGACTAACATCACTAGGCCTTAACATCTCTGTAACATTTGCTTACAGTCCCTGCTCAAAAATTCTTTTCAAACTTATATTCCATTTTTTTATATTTATATTGTTTTATACATATAAAACATCGACAGCTCGGCAATTAGTTTTCAGAAATTCAAAACCTTCTATGTGATAAATATTCTTGCTGACTCCAACAAGCCTGTTTGGATGTTCTTCAGAGCTATTCCAGCACCGCTTATTCGGTTCGCAAGAAAGGGTTCACGAAGCACCAGTTATCGTAGCCTGCGACCAAACTCCAGGTCTCCACGGGGCTCCCGGGGTTGGAGGTGGGATGTAAAGGAGGAACCTCGCCTTTCGGCACCCTCATCCCGCGATCGCCCGAGAGACCTTGATGGTGGGTTACAATCATCGCAGGAATAGTTCACAATCTCCTTGAAACAAAATATCCCTCCCTGCATCATTTTCTCACCGATTCTGGTGTCGTCACGCGTCAAGACTCGCTACATCAATGCAAAAATCTTCCTCGCGTTGTCAGGGGAGGTCTACAAAATGCCGCAAGTACTTCGCCCACGTCAACGGGTGTGTCAGGTGTGGCATTCACAATAAAATAAATAAAACGTCGCTCTGTCAGATATCATGACTATGTAGTGCGCATACGGACCCATACGGTGAAAATTGTGTTATAACTTCTGTAGTCGTGAAAACGCTCTTTCTTATGAGCAAGAAACTCGGTTTAGAGGGGCAGTTTCAGACAAAGTGACGTAAGCGACGATCGATAATTGATCAAACTGATAAATCGATAAATGACGTTTCCTAAAGCACCAGTGTGTTATGCTAAATTACGATCTGTTTCCGACTACAAAGAGTTATTTCGTGACAGTAATTTGATCCTGTGGGTTTAAATTTGTCGACATCAGGGTTGAAACGTCAAAAGCATCCATTCATCTCTAAATCACTCTGAGAATGTGCTGATCTTCAACGTACTACGCGTCACTGAAGATTCAAGAGCTGCTTTAAACACCTCGATGTGACAACTGTTCTTTAGTACATGGTTACCGTTTTCACAATTGACGGCGATTTGGATGGAATCGAACGTGAACTGGCTTTGGAGTGTATTCGTGCGTGCCCTGTTAATTATTTCTTTATGGAACATTTTACGAACAAGCGCTCAAGGTAAGAGATGTATCCTTCACTCAACTTACGTTTTTTATTAGATTAACAATGTGGTTTTCTAGAGGCCTTTCTGTCTCTGCCTGAACGACGAGCATAGGAGTAAAATTGACTTGTCTTTTACAGTCGTGACTTCGTTATCGCTCGCTGCATCCAGACTTTAGCCGTATGTGGTCGCGGTATTAGCTACTGGTATTTTCTGAAATGGGAAAATATTCAAATACCGCTTAAAATCAACAGGATATCTGCTCAGAGGCGTGACATGAAATATTCAGTACAAAGGAGTGAAAGCACGATTCGGTTTATTTGTAGTCAAGTAACAACATTTAATTACTCCAGAGATCGGGAAGGAAATATGTCTCGTGTAAACTAATCAGAATGAAACTGAAACAGGAGAGGAAATAAAAACGTAACGTTAAGAATTCCTCTAAGTTTGCATTGCTTGAGAACACTGAACCTATAAACATCACTTGCAATTAAAATTTATTTGCAAGTGTTTCTAATTTAACTTACAGGCGAGTTTTTTTCTTAATCAAACCTCTCTTCAACGATGAAATAAGCAGACATTTGAAACATGCCGCAGATAAACGATTGCGTTGAATACAGACAAAAAAAATTCAACTCATCAGTAAAACAAAAATTCGAAGATTTTAGGGGGTACGGGGGGCTAACTCAATGATTTACCCACACAGATAACTCCAGAAATTTTGACTGATATCCAACTTTAATTTACGGAACACTGACGGTCATTTTACTCAAACAACAAAGACACTTGAAAGCCTTTATCCCACAAATTGCACCATGGCTTGCAAGGAGGAAATTTTAATTTCCGGTGAACCTTTTTTAATCTTTGCTAAAAATTCCTTGGAACTTGAAATAATACTACGGTGCTGATATTGTGTAGTTGTCATGCAGTATACTCCATCATGATTTTCTTATCTTTTGACATGGTTTGGTCAGCGGAAATCGTTTGACAGAGCTGCAAAGAGGGCCAAGCAAGATTAGCAGAACTGTCAAGTTTGAGAGTAATATGTTAAAAAGTAAAGAAATTAAGACCTTGTGAAGTCGCGACATTTTAGAGACATCCGTATTTAGGGGGGCATAAACTTGCCCCCCACCGTTCAAATGTCTGTAAAATTTCGAGAATTCGTCGAACCATGGCACTGGAAAAACTTGCCAATTTTGCTAATCTTGTGGCGCTTTTAATTTTTAGCAGTGTCGATGGATTTCCGCCAGGACAGGCACTTCGTTTATTTGTGGTCCAATTTAAAGCGTTAAAAACGCATTATGAGTTAGGGGTTTGGCACTAAACAAACAAAAGAGACTCAATTTTAGGTGATTATGTTGGACGCTACTCTCATTTGAGAAGCATGTTACTGACAGGAAATTGAGCTATGATAGAATAATGAGTTTTTTAATTGTAAATATCTGTTTCACAAGCTTTTGGCTCGGCGACCCTTGGCTTTTTTTCAACGGCTAACCAGGTGAGGCTAAGGGAAGTCTGATAACGATAAGAATGGATATAAAATAAATCATGTCACAAATTTACAACGTCTCAATGTCGTGAAGATATCATTATCGAGGGAAAATTGAAAAAAAGAAAAAGTCAGGAAGTTAATATATGCATGCATCAAGTAGAGTGTCGAATAACCTTACACTCGAAATAAATATATCTCATTAGACACTTTGGTGTGTGGTATCGCTTAGTATTTTTGTGAGTTGTGCCATATTTCGACGAGCCCGCAGGGCGAGTCAAAATACAGTCATGCTACACAACAAAGCGTCTAATAAGATGTATTTACTTGAAAATGATATCATAACACTGTCAAAATGTTTTGCCTTTCTAGGAAGTTTTAATCTTAAACCGTTTACTGAATATACCCTGATAAGAATGGATTTGTTCCAAAAACACGATAATTTACATTAGAGCTTTGTCTGGAACGTGACGCATTTTCCTCGCAAAGGGACTGTAAATGGCGAAAAGTAGGAAATAAATATATATATATATATTTAGCTTAAAGGAGATTGTACTCGTGCCCAGTGAACAAAGTCACGAAACCGCTTGTTTGGATCGACGCCAATGATATCAGGTTTGAATGACGCTTTAATATAAGCGAAGTAGCATTGCTGAACGAACAGGTCACAAAAACTAGCTAGATATTTGTTTAATCTTTGTCAATGTTGGTGCAAATGTCGAAATACAGATACGATGCTGAAAAATGAAAATATTAATAAGTGCATAATAAGCAGAAAACAATGAAGAGAAACGTGAACAAAACTAAATACTGCTTACATTCGTGTTAGCTTGAGTTTTCTCAATGTCCAGATGTAATCTGAACAAGATCTAAACTTTTAAGAAATCAGCCTTCATGTGATCGTAATTTTGTTCTTGAAAGACTGTAATTTGCCCTGCAAAAATAATGCTTTAAAGGCGAGTTTTGATGGAGTGTTGAGAAGCCCCACATCAAAGTAACCAGAGTGGTCGATTATAACAAAAAGAAACATGTCAGGGAGCCAATGAGAATCAAAGTAGAAAAGAAAACTTACTAAAGGGTAGGAATGCGTGAGAACGAAGCGCTTGATTTTTATTCGTTAGAAGTCTGATTATTCGAGAGGTTATGAGATTTTCAAAACAATCACAACGAGAAGAAAGGTAAAGCCAATGAAATCGTTGATTTTTTTTGTAGAGCTATTTTTTTAGTTGAGTATCAAAAGTGATCTTGGATTGCTTTCGTTTTGCTTACTACGCTCTGTGGTCGGTCTGAAAAAATTCGCAGCATTATCTCAACCAATCAAATGTGACACGAAAACCAACTTACGTTTTCCCGCGCTTCAGTCAGGTTGCCCGTGTCAGAACCTGTGTTGTGATTGGTAGTTGTGATACTACGCTCATTTGAAAACTTGCTCTGGATGAGATAATTAGCCAAAACAGACAAAATTCAAATACTTGTTATTAAAATTGATATTTTTTCCATTGGCTCTTTTGTGGTTAACAATTTGTTGTTTTGTTTATTTCTTACCGGGATTGCTAGGTGGATCACTGCAGCACATAGGAAAGATAAACTTCTATCGTATGGTTCCTGAAGGCTCTTCCGTCGATCTCAGCTGTGAGCTCAATAACCCCACAGTGGATGTGAGACTGTGGCTGATGTTACAGTCTGGGGCAACGTTTACACCGAGAAAAGGCGTGGTCAAATATGGGCAGTTATTTACTCTTCATAGAGTAAGCAACAAAAAGCAGGGCTCTTACGTATGCAGGGCGAAAAGTCCCAGATTTTACAAATATATTGGAAGAATTATTGTGACACCAAGACTACAAAGTAATGTGAAAAGCCTGTATAATTTATTGTTAACATTCTGTTATTACGTTTCATGTATTGTACATCACCAAGCTATAAAATTCAGGCAATTAACTTCTGTTGTTGCAAATTATGTTATTATAGTTATCATTACTGTTGTCACTTTTGGCTTTGTTATTATCATTGTTATAATTGACTGGATGTCCGATATTGATCGCTCGAGGAAATTAAAAGGAATCAATAACTCTCGGACTCAATCATAACTCAAGTAATCATAACCATTACAATTTCCTCGAATATGATTGGTGCAGTAGCTGCTTTATTTTTCACAAATTAAGTTCACTCAGCCTAATCCACCAATCACAGAATTGATCACAATAACCATAGCAACAACCACTAATCGTAAAAAAAGACATGGTAATTTCAAATGGGAGGTATTATTTACTTTAACACATTGTTTCTACCAGAGATGTTTGTCCTAAATGTATTCTTGTTTTTGGAAATTGTAACAGTTATGATTAATTGGTAATAGGACTCTGTGTCGTCCAACTCTGTCTGTAATTATACTCGCGATTTTGTTAATCGCTCGTATGATAACGGACCAAATTGGACTTGGTCCTATTAACATTATTAATTAAGCTAAGTTGGATAGGTAATGGCCTAATAACGGTTTGTGCGCAACTTATTGCGTCAAAACAGATTTTGTCATTGAAAGCTAGACTACGAGCAGTCCTTCCTTTTCGGGAAGTCTGTCGCGCGCTTCTTTCATGCGCTTAACTCCCAGAGTTCCCTCCGGCGCACGAACTTTATTTCCTTTTCCTGTTCTCTTTTTGTTCGTGCACAGTTCTCCGCCGAAAAGAAGGGACTGCTCGAAGTCTAATGAAAGCAAGAAGCTGCATTAACATCAACAAGATAGATCGATCTTCGAGTAAAACTTACCTCAAGTCTAGTGAGTTTTGATCTCCAATGTCGGGTTACAATGACGTGGTTGCGAAATTTGTATTTTGCAGACCCTCCAAAACCAAACGTGACAGCAAGATATCAAGGAGTCGTTGTCCATAGAGATAAAAATCTAACATGTACTGCAAAAGGCAAGAACATATCTTCGGTTCAGTGGTACAAGAGTGCACGACCTCTGTCCATGCAACAACAAGAAGTCAGGAGACAGTATGACATCGAAGAAGGGGAAATATGGTCCAACACTTTATTGTTAAAGAATGTCACAAAGAAACAGGTTGGCTGGTATGAGTGCCGTGCGTTTTTAACTTCTCAGAAGTTCGGGTTTTGGTCAGCTCATGTCAACTTGAATGTTTTAGGTAGGAGATACCATTATTTCCTTCAATTTTACCTCAAGTCAAACGTGCATTAATCTTGCTTGATTTAACTTATCATTTCCTGGGATGACTAAGATACGTATGAGTGCTGCTACCGAACTCAAACAATGACACCTTTAAGATAGGTTCGGCATCTGGAGGGAAAATGCAACTAATTCTGGCGCGTTTTTACCTCAACTTACCAACCGGAAGGTTTTTACTTTGGTATTTTATTTTGAAATAAAAGCATCAGACACACAAAAAATGGGTATTTGGGAGATCACAACGATCATTTCCAGTAGCTTTTGGCTACAAGTGAAAAAATGCCACGACTTCGATATGAAATAGTTCATGGAGTTTCAGAAACGACGATTGTAGCATATCAGAGCTTATATTGGTGTTTCATTTCTCTTAAATGAGAGTTAAGAACATGAGTTGACTCGAATGTCTGAGATGTTTTTAAAACATGTTCCGTTTAATCATCTTCAGAATGCCCGGAACCTGATGGAAAGTTCGCTGATCCGCAGAGCATTACGGGATATCTTGTGTGCACGGGTGGGAAGAGCACTAGAATGAGCTGCTCAAAGGGACTGGTGTGGAAGGACGTCAAGAAAATGTGCGGCACTCCAGGTAAGGTGTTCGGAGAAGTATGATGTGCATAGGACTGTGGATTTGCTAGTACTGTGATATGAAACCTCTGGTCAAAGCAGCGTTCCTGAGGGCGCAAAGGAAACAAAAATACCAGCCTGTACTTATGACTTGAGATCGTAGATTAAACGATTAAATCTTAGCTGTGTCTACCGTTGTAGAAAATTAAGTTATTCTGGCCGGGAAGCGGTCTGAGCAATTTAGACATAGGGAAGAAACAGATATCAACTCTCTCAGTTGGCTGGTAAATCTGAAGAGAAAGCCGAAGACCGAGCTATAGTCAGACGAATTATGGATATATGACCATTTGAAAAGCGACGTTCTTGACTGACAGAAGCTCCTATCCGATGGTTTTTTAGGCTCATAAGATTTCATTGACCCTTTATTCTTTCAGCGAAGGTTCTTAAGTGGGAATCTTGGCCTCATTCACTGCAGCAGAAAGACCGTACTGTTGGGGAATCCGTAAATATAAGCTGTCAAATGAACGATCCTACAATAAGAGTCAAGTTAAAACAAAAGCTTCCCTTTGGTATGATAAAGGAGCGAATGGCGGATGGCTGCAGAGTCATTCGAGTTGGTCAGACGTTTGTTATCCGCGCTGTGGATTTTCATGATGCTGGTATCTACCTCTGTGAAGCACCATCTGCCTCTATAAGTCGAAAGCAAGAAGTTTTCTTGATGATCAAACCAGGTAAAGCGTAATATACTTTTTGAATGAGCTTTATTCATCACTACTGGAGTCAAACTGGAGAGTTACGTTTTGAGCTTTTTGCCACTCATCATCATCATCACCTTCCCAGTGATAGGCTTATGAGGATGTGCCGCTGGATAGGATCACATTGCCATGATTGGATTGACTATAATGGGGTTACATCTTCAATAGATTTATTAGAAGAGGGTCGCACATTTTCGGGATTTTCGGCGAAGAAAATTTTGGTAGTTGTGGTTTAAAAATGGAAAATTCGTGGTGAAAAAGTTGTTACCATATCTTGTCTATATGGGTATGTGCCATGCTGGGTATATGTCAGCGGAACATACCCAGCGAAAATTAACCCAAGTAGCCCCCCACCCCTTCTCCGGGAGTATTTTGTCAAACATCTAACATGGATCTAGTGGAGACCACAAGCAGTCTAAGTTTAAATACTGTCAGAACTTAACATATCCTTTGTTATACCACGACAGACAAATAATACCAGATTACTAAATTACTCTACAGTGGTTCTCAATGTCAAAATCAAGATTGATCATACTAACTCTAAAAAACTTAACTAGCTGATAGTGTAATTTAGTATTATCAACTGAGATCATAACGTAAATTGACCACCATAAAGAGTTTCAAAGCTGACGTTTCCAGTTTTAGCCCTTCAACAGAGCAAATGAATAATTCATTATCTCTGACGAAGGGCTACTCTCCAACGGACGCAGCACTACAGTTTCTTTAGAAACTTACCCCCTTTAACTAGTTGATAACTGAGAACTCAAACTTTCAACTCTCTTAGTTTAGAGCTCATGTCTAAAAGTAATAATCCTGAATTTCTTTCGTCCAGCTCCGTCATCTGCCATTTTCACGGGGCACAGAAATTTATTTGCTTCCAATGGGAGCTCTGTAGATTTGAATTGTGGCGCCGAACACATCTTTCAGCCAATGATATTCTTGGAGATCATTCGCACAGACGGTATAACACAACTGATCCCGGACGGGCACAGGATTGTCCTGACGGCTCGAACTGTGACCATACACGGAATAGAACGGACCATGAGAGGGAAGGTTGTCTGCAGGGTTATTTCATCCTGTAATCAAGCACGAGAAGATGTAGACTTGGGGTTTCTTCTTCCAATTCCCCTGAGAGGTATTTTTCAACTGTTACTGTATAAGGTGCTATTCATTGCTCATCGCGTAGGAGATGGGAAAATTCTGGGGGGAGATCACAAGGTTTTCAGGGGGCAGGGAGAGGGCATCAGTTGTCGCCGACTGAGTATAAAGGGGGACTATAAAAAATCGACAGCTAAATTACTGTTAATGAGGGGGGGGGGGGCGATCATGTAAATCGTCTCGTGACGCATTCAAAATCCTTTGACCTCACCCCCCCAATAACAAGTCTTAAGATCAACGTGGATATTATCACATTATTCGGCAATTTGGTGATCTAAAGACTTTGGTCTTGATTAAACGATCTAGAGAAAATCATAAGACTTTTTTACGATTTAGTCAATATTTAAAGGATACTTTGCCTTTCTTTATCCTTCCTAGTGTGTTTTTGCCACGAAATCGCCGGAAGCAATTTGGAAACCCACGGGAGGAAAATTCATTAGTCATAGGAATTCTTTTTTCAGTTTAAAGTGAACGAAGTTCAACTAATTTTTTCAGGGTATGGATCCAAAGGAAGGGCACCCAGAATTAACTTGGCTGATAAAATTTTTCTTTCGAACCTGGATCACATTTTTCAAAGGTCCCGGTAACTTGACGGGACCTTCAAATCTTTAAGAATAGAGAAGCAGGTTTTGGCACCCTAACCAGTCCATTATGTTACTGTAGCTGATATTTTTATTGCATAATTTTCAAAACTTTTGAAACCCCCATCTTGAATGAAAATAGAACAGCTTTAGGGGCACGTTTAGGTACCGGGACCTTCGAGAAACGGGCCACTGGCCTTAAAGCTTATGCGATTTAGTGTCCTGTTGGAAGCACCCTTTTTTTGTATTTTTTTTCTCGTCAGGAAAACCGCCTGTCCCAAAGTTATCGCAGCAAAATTCCGAGGTAGAAAAAGGCAACAACCTCACCATTACATGCTCGGTCTCTGGGGAAGAATCACGTGACATAGCGTGGTTCAAGAACAAAGTCCCTGTAGCAGAGGAGAACGTCTTGACATTGGGTTTTCGTAGCCAGCTTAAGCTTTATAATGTCAGCAGTTCTGACGCTGGGGTTTATGAATGTAGGATCATGGACTTTGGCGTTGGATATTTTGTAAAAACAGCGACAATCAAGGTCAAAGGTCAGTAAGGAAATGAAAAGTTTTGCCGCTAAAATTGTTTCCATGTAGCTTAGTTCAGTCTCTGCCTTCAAGTGAGCTGTGCTTGTATCCTTTAAATCTTCAGACAAATTCTATCCCTCCAAAAGAGTATGCTTTTCAGTGATAGTCCTTTAAAAGACAGGTAGAGTAATGCAATATTTCAAGCAAGGGGTAGGAAGTGTGTTTATGACAGGCAGCCGGGGACTGAGGACATAATTCCCATAAGAGAATCTATTCAACGTTTAGACCTGTCTTCCGTTTAACATAACATGAATTGTGGAATGAATTTTCATGGGTCGTTCAGCACAGGGAACTCTTTCGAGGAAAATTGGCCAATCCATTCAGAGGCGCAAACATTGTAATTTATTGATTTATCATATTTTTCATCAAGATTCGGCAAAGGCAGTGCCGACAGCATCGACAACAACCATTTATCCGTCGTCAGTTTCGTGGATCACAATAGTCCCAAATCAGTTGGTAGATATCAACTGCTCCATGTTTCAAGCCGACATTGAGTTGAAATTATGGCACGAAACAACTCCAGGATTTCTTAACCAAAGGATACCTGACGGTGCCTCCGTGATCCGCCAAAATAACACGTTTAAGATCATGCAAGGACAGCAGAGCGATGAAGGAAAATATTATTGCCAGAATGCCGACCAGAAAATTCAAGTTGCCATTTTAACTTTTTTAGGTAACATACAAATTTATGTTCTTGGCATGTTTTAGTTGTAGAGACTCGTCACGCAAGCATGTGACGTGCGAATTATGACGCAAGTTTGTGACGACAGTTGCGGAAGAGATTTTTTGTTATCAAAGTCCTGGAAGAAGCAGAACTTAAGATATAGCCTTCGCAACATGACACTTAAAGTGCATACAGTAATTTACCAATAAATATTAATTTTGCAAATGTAAGCAAAAATAATGCTAACCGTTACCACTGCTTTGTTCACAGCCAACAATAAAACAAATCTTTTCGTTGGTAAGAAGCAAGGGTGTCTGGTTAAAGTTAAATGTACTTTTAGACAATTTTGGTCGATGATAAGAGGACGTTGTAAAACAAATAGGTCTAAACTTCGTTTTATTAAATTTCTAAACAATTTTTCTTCCCATTACAAGTTGCCACAGCAACAGAGTTATTTCCATCACTGCGTATGATGCTAATAGCCCGAAACAGCCTGAGGTTGTTGATCCCCATTTTTAGCTTGTCCTAAATCGGGAAAAAATCGTTGCAAGTAAGAGATAGACGGCGTCCAAAGCCACCTTAAAGTTGCGCAGATTCTGTTTTGTTGTTGTTTTTTTTTTTTAATTTGGGTGAGAAATAGCGTTAAGCGTTCTGCCTTATCATTCTTCCATGGTTTCATGAATGGCTTCTCTTTGAAAACTTGTCAGATGAAAAACCTCCAAAGATAATCAACTTCACGACACGGGCGTCTGTAAACGCTTCCCAAAATGTGAGGCTGTTTTGTGAAACGGAAGGTAAACCTCCCCTTGCGTTCAAGTGGTTCAGGAATGGGCGGCTAATCGGAAGCTGTAAGGGAGATCTGGAACGAAAGAGGACATGCTTCCTTCACCGTCAACAAGGAAAATACAATGTTTTATGGAGGGGATCTGGTACAGAGCTGGTCATCAAGAAAGCGTTTCATCCTTTTGACACTGGAGTCTTCACTTGTGTCGCCATGAACTCAGCTGGAACGGATAACAAAACTGTCACGTTAGATATCCATGGTAGGTCATTGATAAAAGCAATGTGACCTGGAGATTGTTTTATAGTCGCGCCTTGTACTTGATATCTCAAGGAAATTTTAAAAAAAAACCGAATTGGTGGGGATTTGAATCCTGAGGGATCATGATTTGTTCCACTTGCTAATTAACAATTTCAGACAAAAGCCATTTCTAGTTCATTGATGCTAACATATTGCAGCATGTTCGTCGCATTTGAAGTATACATAAAGTAGTTTTATGGTAAACTTTCGACATAATTTCTTGACGGCCCGTTTATTTTATGTATATCTACAACTTAAGATGGCGATATAATTTAATGGTAGCTTTTACACATATGTGTTAGGACCCCATTAAATAAAAACTTATCTACTTATTAGTAGAGTGTGTCTTTAGCCTAAACAAGCTGATTCATGTAACATCGACAGAAAAGCCTGTTCTTAACAAGAAAAACTACACAGACCTCCTTGTGTTGTCTTTTGGGGACGCGACTACGATCCAGACCACAGCGCTGCGCGGTCATCCAGTACCTCACTTCAAGTGGTATCAACAACCAATCAGAATCTGTAATTCAGGATGCAAACCAGATGCCAAAAAATGGCGACGAGTTCCACGTCATGTGATCGATCCATCAGAAAAAGTTCCTTCAAGAATAAGCAGTTTGTTTCTTCCACCTGCGAAGTCTGGATATTTCTTCAGATGTATCGCCGAGAACTTCCTCGGGCATGATGACGCTGTTTTTTCCGTGCTCAGAGTTGGTAAGTTTACTAAAATTGATACAAATTTTACCGCACTTGAATTTTTGACAAGCAGCTTTTTTTTTGTCCTGCGTTTTATACGCAAGACTTTCCCGAAAGTGGGTCAGCGAAAACCACACACTATTCGAGATCACTGCTCGCGACATTTGCAAAAAAACTGTTCCAATTTTTAAAAAGTAAACACAGGTTCGAGAACAAACAGACTGTGCATTTTACTACGTTCAAACTCCATTAAATTTTTCCTTCTCATGATTTCCCTTTCAGACAAGGAAGCTGTTTTACCAAAAATCGTCCCTTCATCTTTCACTCTACAAGTAGATGAGTTGAGCTCTTTTACGATCTCATGTAAAGCTGACTTGGGAGATTTTGAGTACCTCGAATGGAAAAAAAGAAATTCAACTCAGATGTTATCCAACACATTGAAAAGGAACAAACATAACGTATCCACGACATTATCTATCAGGCATGCGCAGTTGGGGGATGCTGGGGATTATTTATGTTACGGATGGACTGCAAACGAGACAAAGATTTCAGTCATAGCAGTTTCTGTTGCAGGTAGGGGAAATTATTCATCGCGGGGAAGGGGGAGGAAGGATTTTTGGGGAGATTCCATGGTTTTCAGAGAGAACGGAGGAGGAATCGGTCGTCGTGAACTTAGAATAAAGAGACGCTATAAAAAGGTGACTGACAGTTAACTGCCATTGAGGAGAGCATCAGATATTACAGAGTCTTATGGGGGAATTGGGTAAATTTAATCGTGATACAACCAAATCCTCTAAACCCCCCCCCCCCGTTCCTGGGTGGGGTACCCCGTTCTCTAAAGCGGCCTTAGCGATGTGAACGCCGGGAGGGAGTAACTCTTTCAGGCTGGTAATTTGTTTTAAGCGTGTGGAAAAATCAATAAATGACAGGACAAGTTTTCTCCGTTCGAGTTTTATCACCTATTGAGCATTACGTTAATAGGGGCTGAAATCACCATTGGGAGTCTCAGTGGAATGTTCAGGGAAGTTGGAATTCTTACGAATTTGCATAAAAGGTGCAAAAAGGATTTTGGATCAAGGACCGGGTTTGGAAAACTGTCCGGTCGCAGTCATTTCATAATTGGCCCTGGTTGGCTTCATCTTTACCTATAAATCTAATCGTTATTCTCTTTCTATTCCAGAATTAGTTCGTCCCGTTGTGTCGCTCTTAAATCAAACTATCCAAGAAGCAAACGTTAACAGCACAACGTTAAAATGCAACATTGCATCAGGGTATCCTGCACCAAATGTCACTTGGTACAAAGATGGCGCACAGTTGCGCCTGCTCTCCCTCGGGTCAGTGGATGACTGTAGAATAAATGGATTTCATTATATCGAGAGTGACCGCCCGCCCTTCACGAGAGAGTTGCTGATATGCAAACCAAATCACGTCGAAAACACTGGAATTTATAGGTGTGAGGCCGAGAATACCAAAGGAAAAGATACGAGTGAAGCAGTTTTGAATGTATTAGGTTTGTATAAGGAATGTGTGACAAATTTCCAGTCCGTTGTTAAGTCCATCTTTCTTTGAAAGATTTGTGAGGCTTCAAATCTTACTTGGTTAAACATCTCAGCATGGAGACCATTCATAATATTTTATAAAGGATGTTTTACCCTAAAAGGGAAACTTTTTCAGACTTGTTGTTGTAGAAGGTTTGAAATTTCAAGAGTTTTGTCATTGGCATGAGAGGATAAACTAAGATGTAACATCTGAGTCATTGGGTAATTATAGCCGTTTCTCACGAGGAAATACAAACCCTTTTTTTTTATCTCTCAAGTCCCTTTCATGCATATGCCAAACTGCTTCCAAATCATCTTACACCGCACAATTGTCTTTCTTTTTCAGTTTTTTTTTTCTTTTCTCTTTTCTCTTTCCTCCTCAATATTATTCTTCTTTCTCCGTTTAGCGCAGCCAAAAATTTCCAACATGGTGGATGACAACCTGACCATGGAGTTGGGCGAAAAAGTAAATGTCAGTTGTGAGGTAACAGGTAACCCCCCTCCCTCAGTTAAATGGGTCAAGAGAACGTCAGAGGGTGACTATGTACCTGTCGTGAATAGGGGCAAAGAGAACCGCACCCTTCTGATAAAATCCTTGCGACAGCAGCACTATGGGGACTACATATGCGTAGCTGAAAACAAGTTTGGACATGATTCGGTGGTTTTATCTGTTGGTAAGTGTGCTATGGTACGAGGCTTTCTCTGCTGTTTGCGGTAGTTACCTTTTTCTTTTCCGTCGCTACCCAAAACTTGCATTCTAGCTCAGAGGAAGACGATTTCCGTCAATAAAAGCAAGTTGTAATAATATCACCCAGTCTATATATTGAGCAAAAATATTTTAACTCTGCATGATTTGACGGAAGGCTATATCAATTAAATTTTTCCAATCTGTAAACGGCACCACGTGGTTCCCTTTAACGCCTATGTGCTTTTGAAATTATTCGAGGGAACTTTGACGGAACGACACGTTTGTAGTGATCTTCGTCAAAGCAATAACACCCTCCCTGACTGCCCCTCCCCATCCCTCCTCCCTACCTCATTTCTCCCCCCTTTCCTCACACCTCAACCTAGTAACCTTTCTAGCATACTTTCATGCCTCAATCTTGATAACCACAGTTCAACCAGAACAAGTTGGCGCCATTTCGAGCCTGGGACCTCACTCGAAGATCCCCTTCATAGCAGCCATTGTCGTTGGCGCGACTCTGTTTTTGTTACTCTTGGTCATCGCTGCCATTCTGGTTCGCCGGCGTCAGATTTATGGAGGTTTCTACATCTGCACCACTCCTCCCCTGCCAGACATGATACCGAGGCTGGATTCCTCCATTCCTCTTATTGAACAAGTACATAAGCTGCCACTGGACAAACGCTGGGAGTTCCCAAGAGAGCATCTACGCTTCTGTAAGATTTAAATAGATAAATAGTTTCTTAGGTTTAACCAATTGTCGCCTTCCTTTTAGTTACGCAACAGATCAATAGCAAGTAAAACTATACTCCCTCGATCTATTTTTCAGCATTTTGGACATGAAAGTACACGAATATGCATTTTTCACTTGTTATGACTATGATAAATATTTCGTAATGCATAGTGCAAGATCTCTCCAAGGATTATAAGAAAAGTAAGCGATGTAAATTGTTAATTCTACACTCGCGTTTGCAGGAAATGTCACGATAATTCCCTCTACTTCCAAAAATCTAGTCTATCCAACTCCACTTCCCCTCCCCCTACAATGAACGTGCCCATGCTGTGGAGCCTGGTGTGAGCTTCTTAGCGGCCATTTCTTATGGCGAACTTACCGTTCAAATACTCTCACGGATTGCAGGCAAAGTGCTCGGCTCTGGTGCTTTTGGCGAAGTGTACTTGGCCGAAGCAGAAGGGAACATCATAAGTGATAGCGCGTCAGCGGTAAACTCGCACAAAAGACATCGATTGTCGACTTTAAAGGACTCACGAAGGGGTTCCTCTATATCTCATGGGCCTGTTAAGGTGGCAGTCAAAACATTGAAAGGTGAGTAAAAAATCGTTTCGCCTAACAGACGTGAACTTCGCACGCGATCCAACTTGCCCACATTGTGGTAGCCTGCAGAACAGGCGTAAATTTTTGCATTTTACGGGCGAACTAAGACAAGCGCTAGGCGAGCGTGAAGCGGGAGGCAAGCGCGAGGGAAGGAGCGCAAGGACACGTGCTCCTTCCCTCGCGCGTGACTCACACTTCGCGCCACCTTACACTTGCCACCGTTCGATTAAAGAACGCCAAAAAAATTACGCCTGTTCTGCTGAAGAAAATTTTGGGAAACAGAGCAACTTTTCTGCACATAATGCGACCAGATAAAATGCTGAACCCCACTTAAAGGAATGCTTATCTTTCCCAAGTCAGCCCAATGATTTTTGTCAAACAACCTCGTTCCCAGGGTCCTTTTCCTTCCCTCCTCGAGAAAGCAAGAGATAGTTCCCTGAGAATGAGGTTGTTTGTCATGTTTCCTTGACAGTTCATTGATACTTACACACACTACAGATTGGAGAAAGGCAAAGAGGAAATCAAACCCAAGACCTTAGGATTTCACTGTGTTTACCTTTAGGCAACTGTGTCGCCCATACTTATAATTTCTATCTTAAACTTTGCCGGACATTGCAGTTCGCTTGAATGACCTCTAATTCAACTATAATTTAACACGTGATTTCATTATTTTAACTCCAAATCAACGACTTTCCTCTTAAACAGAGGGGGCAGAGGAATCAGAGCACAAAGACCTCATCTCCGAGCTAAAGATATTGATTCACATCGGATCTCACAAGAATATTGTCAACTTGTTGGCAGCTTGCACAAAGGGTAATAAAAACTAGATGTTTAGGGGTCCAGTTATATGTAAACCACGAGCAGTACCTGTTTTGCAGTGAAATCTATCTTTTGGCGTAGAATCAATGACTGATTTTCCTTGAATCGTGCGACAAACCTAAGACAACTTTATAAAAAGGATCACGTCACTGATATTGTGGCTTAAGCTAATAATTTTTTTCCGTTATCTTTGGTTAAATATCAACTTATTGTTGTTTAACGCTCACGTAAGCTATTTCTCAATGTAATGTTTAAAGGAGAATTTTTCTTCCTAATATTAGACCACTTAGTTTTAATACTACACTTCGCAGCCCGGTTAGTTGAACACCAGTTTCATAGAAAGCATAAATATAAATCTCGTTTACAACCAGGAGGAATGATGCTGTTGTTCCTCTAGTTTCTTTGTTTATTTTTGTTATTGATTATTTTTTTATTTTGTTTGCCGTTATTTTTGTTACTTCTGCCAAAGATGCACAAACTACAACTTTAAAACGTTAGTGGAAGGAAAGATAGTTTTGTCTCATCCATTCCATATTGTGTTTCGACTCCAGTTCCTTATAATATAATTTATTTTACCAAATTACATATCCAGGTCGTTACAGTGATTTTTGTGTGATCATCGAGTACTGTCCATATGGGAACATGTTAATATTTCTGAGAAACAGTCGAGGAATTTATGACCCAACATGGTTGCCACCCACCGAAGATCCTGACAAACAGATCAGCTTGACAGAACTAGTGAGTGCAGCTTTTCAAGTCGCTAGAGCCATGGAATTTCTTGTGTCTAGAAAGGTAGGTGATCCTTTAAAAGAATTTCCCCCTTTTTTCTTTTTCTCATCGTATGATTTACGAATCGTGGTTGATAAACCAAATTAGAGTTTAATTTGAAGGGTGACATAATTAGGAACTAGTTGAATTGAACAGTGAGATAAAAAGGTTGTGAGTCGGTCACAAGGACCGATCATTATTTACACGTGGTTTTCACATGGGGGGGGGAGGACGGAGGGGAGATCAGCCGTCGCCTATTTACAATTGACTTCCAAGAAGGGGAAGGGGGGGGGGTCATTAGAATACTGCAGAACCTTGGAGGGGGATCAGGTAAATATCATTATGTTACAATCAAAATCGTCCGACCTCCCCTTCCTCAGGCAATCGATGTTGACCAGTCTCTAACTGTTATTGTCTTTCCAGTGTGTCCACAGAGATTTAGCAGCCAGGAATGTTCTCATTGGGGAAAATTATGTGGTGAAAGTTGCAGACTTTGGGCTAGCCCGAGATGTGTATAAAGATGACAAGTACATCAAAGTCTCGCCGGTGAGCCAGCTCAAATTTATTCTGTTACGCCTAAATTCAAATCCATTTGAGAGGAAACTCCTTCTTTCAGACGCTGAGTATATATTAGTTGACATAAAGAGGGATGACTTTTCGTCTCTCCGCGATCGTGGGAAAGAGAAAAAAAGTTGATTCCCAATCAGGAATCGCAACCTCATTCCCAGGGCCCTCTCTCTTCCTTCCCCGGTGAGGACCCTGGGAATTAGGTCGGGGGAATGGAACCCCAGAAGTGAGTAGGCTTTTGAAAGAGACAGACAAACACAAAAGGAACAACAGTGTACTCGTGTTTTAAACTTTCACTGGTGATTTATTTTTCCACCAATCAGTCTTTTCCTCATACAGATTTGATGTTTCTTTCTAGGGCCTTGTTCCGGTGAAATGGATGGCAATTGAATCCCTAGTTGATAGAGTTTACTCCGAGCAGAGTGACGTGTAAGACGGTTTTGAAATGTATAATTTTAATCTAATGTATGAAATATAAGTATATATTATATATATATATGTGCAGGTGAAAAAAAGCAAAAAAAATTATTCCAAAATCCAGAGGCATGAGTACGATATCTAACCCTAGGGAGCCCATGAGTGTCTTATTACATGGAAGGGGTCAATTGGCCGGGTTGTTCAAAGCTGGGTTAAGATAACCCAGGGTTAGTGTGAAATCCGATTTCAGATCTAAAAGCTTTAAAAGAAAATTCAGTCGAATTCTTTTTGTCTAGAGTATGACTATTTGATGCTTTAAAAAGGACATTGAAAATTTTCCCAAAAAGGCTTTAGAGTAAAGGAATAAAGAAACCCAGATTAAAATCTAACCCTGGGTTAGCGCTGATCGGCCTTCGAACAACTGGGCCCTGGTACCCCTCCCCCGCTAACTAAACCATTGCAGTCGCCTTTGAAATAAAACTTACTCGCGTTGGTTTGCAATTTGAAAAGGTTAAGTAGTTCACACAGTAATTCACATTCCTTTTGATTTTATTTTGTAGATGGTCCTTTGGAATTTTTCTCTGGGAGCTGTTTACTCTTGGTAAGATTTGACGATTTTGAAGGAATTCGGATTCATAAGTGCGCCATCAAAACTGTAACCTCCTCAGTAAACCCCTCACCCCACGCCACCCTACCACCCTTCCAAGGTATTATCCTTTCTACTTTGAGTTACTCGTCTAGCACAAAACACGTAAACACTCACATTTAGCAACAGGGTCTGTTGTCCAAAGGGAAATTGACTTTAATTAAAAGAGAAGTCTAGAGGTACAAAAAATACTAAAATAGATCAAAATAATTTCAGTTCTTGAAAGAGTAAGGCTCGTAGTTACGCTCCTGTATTAGTGTTGGCCGGTTGGCCTTTGTGAGATTCGAATCCAACGTATTGTTTTCATTATACTGTAGGAGGAAATCCCTATCCTTCGATACCGCCGACAGAAATTTATCAATATATCAAGGACGGAAATCGTATGGAAAGACCCTTGGAATGTCCAGAAGAAATGTATGTGCCTCGAATACGTATGATACTTTAGACTACGAGCAGCCCCTCCCTTTTTACGAAGTCCGTCGCGCGAATCAAAAGCAAACAGTGAAAAATGACAAAATGATGTTAGTGAACCGCGCGGAAATCCGAGAGTGAGGCATTATCCCAGAGTTCTGCGCGATGCGCTAACATCAGTGTTAATGTTACTTATAACAAGAGATATTGAAAATTTTCAGCAAGCGAACATGGAACAAAGATAAAGATTTATTCTCGAAGATTCGAACCTCAGACCTTTCTTGACAGTCAGAATCTCCACCAACTGGATCACAGGACACTTAGTTTGTTTTCTCCTGCGCCATTTGTTTATGAGCTAAAAAAAGGTCAAAACATTTAACTTCTCTTAACTGAATGAATCGAGTTTCAGCATAAGGAATCACGTGAGTCTCGTCGCGTGATTCGCTTCTCTCTTTTACCCAGCTAAATTGTCAATCAAAGTCAGCAAATTATTGTGTTTATTGACAGGTATGCCATGATGACAGACTGTTGGATGGAGAAACCCGAAGACCGACCGAACTTTACCGCGCTTGTGCAGAGGCTGGATCACGTGATGGAATCTAATTCTGCTGCCATGGTCAGTGCATCATAAATTTCTTTTCTTCAGATGGATTCTTTCGGCATATATGGGTTATTTATCTTAACTGGATAGTTTCCCTGAACGAGAACCTGAAGAAACCTCAAATTAGTTATTTGCAAGGATACAAAAGCGCAAAAATATGCTCACATGCCATGTTCTTCACGCTTTCCGTAGCACCAAGCAACCGGCATGAGTTGGGAACCCACTTCATTGTACGTAATCTCCAGGTGTTTTCCAGGTTTCCAGACACTTTTCCGGCAGCCATTTCTACTCCTGGGTATAGAAACAAGGTTAACGATCGAACCCAGACCTCTCCATTCGTAGTCTAATGCGCCAAATCCTTGGCCATTGCGTCTCTTACAAAAATCGCCAAAGATTAAAAATATAAAGAAAGATCTTTATTTTGTCACGAACGTGGAAGGGACAATGAAAAAACTCATGTTTGCCATGAAAAATCAAACACAAAACCTTTGGATTTCGCGCTCCGACGCTCTACCATTTAGTCAAAGAGACTCTTTAGTGAGTAAGGCGATTACAAGGTTCATATGTGTTTCACGTGTCCTGCATACTTTTAGGATCATCCGCGTGGAAAGTGTCTTGCACGAAAAAAGAAAAATGTTGAGCTCGGTGATCAAAATTGTCAAAAAGTACTTAAAAGAAATAAATGTTTAGACGGCGATTATCACAGACTCATTTACCAGCCGTCATGCGGTACTTTTTCTCGCTAAATAATCCTAGCTGACAAGCTGACAAGGTCATGCAATGAACATTTTCATTTTTTTTTTCTATCTCATAGGGCCGTGAGGGATATCTAGAGCTTGAGGACGAGCCTATGTCGCCAAATGAAGAAATAGATGATGATGGTTATTTGAAGCCAACAGAGATATCTCCCCTTGGTTACAAGTCAGCGCTTCTGAACGGAAACGTTAATAATGACAGAGACAAAGACTTGTCAGGGGAAAACAAGAATTGGACGAGCGAGCTAAAATCCAAGGATTTACACTGCGAACGTTACATAGGTCTGGGCTTCAAGCCTACAAACAGTTCAAATGACATAGCAGAAACTGTGCTTTAGGAGAGTGGTTGTAACCGAAGAACTCAGCTGCTGTAGGATCGCTGTGATCATGCCCTTTCCTTAGCTTTTCCCTGATTGTCTCATACAGAAGAAAGGTTTTCCTTTTTACTTCTTGCAATAATAGAAGACGGAATCAAGCCCATTCGCAGGAAAACAGCCATGAGACTAATTTTTTTCAAGACGGCGGTATCCGGTTACAAATGATTAAACCCTAAACTTACTCAGATCGTATTCGTAACTCCCACTCTGATCTTGTTTACATTTTCTTGTGGATCAGTTGAGAGAATTTGACTTTATATCACGATAACACCCTCTACTTGATGAGCTTGTCCACTCATAACCTAGTTGTGGGATTATGTCTTGAAACTGTGAAGAGAAGCATATGTTGATCACTTCATAGAAATAAAAGGTCAATAACATCGGAAATATGATACGTTGGAATGATTTGGAAGTTATAGTGGAGCGTTAGATATGTTAAGAACGATCGCCCCAAAACTCGGGGGGAGAAGGTGAAAAAAGTTGTCTCTGTAAAAGGATGGAGAGTGGCCCCGGAAATCATGCACCAAAAGCAGACAGGCTAGTGTAATTTGAGAAATATTAATATTTTAGTAAGCCACATTCGAAGTAGGGTGCACCTCTGGATCATCATGATCTAACCAAAGAGGTGGCAATACTGTAGACAAATCGAACGTTGCAGAAATTTCTCATAATCGTCGATAAATTTCCCCCGCGACTTTATTGACTTAACATATCGAGTATTACCGCTGAACGAATTGATAGCGGGCACAATAGCCGTATATATTTTTGTAAAGCAATAACGTATCACCGCTGACCTAACTTGATAGAGGGCACAAATATATGTTATTCACCAGACGGGAGGTCCGTATTGGGAAAAACTGTGCCCGAGGTCTTGGGTACACAAGACAGAGGGCACAGTTTTTCCTATTACGGACCGACCTTGGCTGGTGAATAACATTTTAATTTTTTTCTAAAACCTAACAAATGGTTGGTTGAAAAGAACCTGACTCCCGCTTGGCCGGATGGGGAGAATACTGCCCACTCTCGGAACCAATCAGATTGCAGGATTTGTAGAATACTGCCCGCTTTGAACTCGTTGGCAGGTTCGGCACTTTTTTAAGCCTCCCCCTACAGATATCTTTGAGCCGATCAATTTATTAATTCTTCTTCTATGTATTTTCTTAATTTTTTTTTGGTGCACTTGACTATACAATTACAAGTCGGATATTGATCACTTCTTGGAGTGAAAGGGTTTAACAAAATTTAATTGGAAGCTGAAATAATTATGCATGCTTTAATTTAGGTATACAAAACTTTCTCATACAGATTAAACAATCTAGTCTAAGGACTGATTGTTAATTCTCCCCTCTAGCTGCTACACATTTCCATGTAAATAAGTTACAAGAATTTGGTGATAGATCAAGATAACTTCTACCTGATAAGTTTGAATATTCTCATGACCTGTTTACTGGATAAGTTTTAGATATTATAGGGAGAAGTTACATGTTAATCACTTCTGGGAGTCAGAGGGTTAAATGTGTCCATCGGTTCAAATCCTCAAACTTCATCAAATCTCTAATTTGCAGCATTATTATCAACCTCACTTTTGAAATCTTGATCATCATCATTATTGAAACAGGTCTGTGTTTGTTTTACAATAGCATCTTGGTGTTTACAAAGCCCGTTATTGCATTTAAGCTGTTGTATTCTTCTGTGGTTAGAAAATCATACTAGCTTGCAGATGTTCATAAACAGAAATTTGGATTCAAAATGATCAAAATTCCTGCAAGGCTTCCCTTATGGAGGCTCACTCATGATCTAGCACATCACCTGCAGGAAGCTACCTGACCAATGAGATGAAAGGCCTCCTCTTGCATGCAGATGCAGCAAGTGTACAAAGTTTCATTAGCTACACAACATTGCCAAACTTTCAGATTAAATCTCTGTAGCTAAACTTATTCACTGCTGCAAGACTCAGTTGAGAGGCCACATTGAATAGAAATTTACAAAAGCACTCAACAGATTTAAAATTGTAAATTGCATGAGAGAAGTGTGGACCACTTAAGTAGCTCTACCCAGATGGTGAGGTTATGAAGGATCAGGGATCAATATGAGAGGGGGAGGAGGATGGAGTCAGAGATTAAAGCACAGACTGACCACCCTATGAGTCTGTGAGTACCTACTAACCATAAAAAAAATTAGGAAATTTTGGATTATCTAAATAAAATGTGGAATAAGGTGTCAGGTCACTTAAGTGTACCTCGTTTTGCCAAAAAATTCCTTCAGGATCTCAAAGTGTGGCTGTTTAAGAGCAGCTCATTACTAAAACCCTTGTACATTTTCTCAGGATTTTTTATTTCATTTCTCATGCCATCAGATCTTTTGGTCAGAGGAAACCCCGCAATCCTGATTGACTGATAATGTATAATTATAACTGCATCCGTGGTTTGTTGCCCTAGAAAATAAATCAGCATTACCATCCTCTAACACAGTCATGAAATGATTAGTTTGTAACTTTTGTTTGTCAATGAACCTCATTTTATTGACTTATACTGAATTCAAATACCATAGGGTGACTTTACAAATTATTTTGTTTATTATTTTACATTTTATCAGTTAATTGTAGGTCCACATCAGCCTCATGGCTACCACCTTTTTAACCTGCATCACTTAATAAAAAATGAGGGATGGATTGTTCCAAGAGTGACGAAATATACTGTGCTCCGATTTATAGAAAAAAAAAACAACTCTGTATGCTATTCCCTACCATGTTCCAAACAGATATATGTCTATAGTTCCATAGTTTTATCACAATTTAGAGTCCTCGCATTCAACCAAATCTTTCATCCTCAGCTGCATGATCTTCTTCACTTCTTCAATCCCGCACTCTAGCTCTTGATCTCTGTCATTATTCAAGCGCGATTTTATTCCTTTCAAAATTGCATCTTTATTGTTTAAACGAGCGCAAATCACAAATGGAAATCCAAACTTATTACTATAGAGCTGGTTATAATGTTTTAACTCTTGAATCTCCTCTTTTGTTAGCGTTGTGATACCAGCGTGTGTTTGTTCTCTTTGGGATTCGGGGGTAAGTGATTCTAAACGATCGGCAAGATCAGGATGGTTGCGCAATATGCCGGCTCTTCCATCTTTGGGAAGCTCGTCGATAAACTGGCACATCACCTCCACGAAGTTGTCAAATGACCTAAAAGGCCTCCTACCACATACAGCTGCTGCACAAATTTTTGTCTCCTCGATAACATTGCCAAACGTACGGATAAAATCTCTGTAATAAAGCTCGTTCACTGCAGAAATGCTCAGTTTGGAAGCCATATTGAATTTATCCCAAACGTGATCTTACATAAAGTAATTAATCTAATTAGCTTTGTCGCTGGTTTCAATATCAGGAGGCTCAATTTCGGAGAAAAACACAGTTTACAACAATTTTCCCCGCTATGGCGATTCACGCACATTTTACCGTGGCGGATTTTGTTGTATTTTCTCTGACTTTGCTGGCATCTATGGGTATTGGAATATTCTATTCTAGGGCGGGTGGAGCACAGCAGAATAACAACGAATATCTCATGGCTGGGCGAAGTATGGCTAGTATTCCGGTTGCCATCTCCGTCCTTGCTTCCTTTGTTTCGTCAATCGCGATCCTAGGAAATCCAGCCGAAGTTTACACGTATGGCTTTCAGTACTGGATCAATTCCTTCACGAACTTTATTTCTGTTCCAATCATGGCGTTGGTTTTCTTACCTGTGTATTATAACCTTCGTTTGACTAGTAGTTACGAGGTAGGTTGTCAGACATGAATTAATGAATCCCGCTGCAGAATTAGCACCGATCGCTTAGTACCAAATTTCCGGTTTATCTCGATTGAAATGCGTGAAATGTAGTATTCAAATGTGCAAGTTAAAATGTATTGGAGTAATCGCACAGTTATGATACAAATACCACGAACAGTTGAACAAACAGAGTTTTCATCGTTTTTCATTGTGAACAAATGTTTACTTGGTGTAATCATCTGTCATGAGCAAGTAACATTCGCGTTCTTTTCTCTCGTACACATTTTTTTTTATCATTGAATGGAATCGAAAAAGTGAAATGACTTAACATCAATTCAGTCTTAAATTAATTTAACATGGTTAACCTTTTCTCGTGTGAAGTTCTATGCCGGTGTGTATGTTCCGGGGTAGCTCAGTTTGAAAGGTTTAAATATATTTTTTTCTATCTCCCCCTGTTTATGCAGCCCGTCGCTGACTAATGGCACTGATTCGCACGAACCAGTGAATCCTAAGGAAGGATTATTTACAGTTTAATTCAACTGTTCGAAAACTTCAAATTATACCCACTATGAACAAGTCAAATAGCAAAACTTTACGATTTGTGAGTGTGTGTGTGTGTGTAACTCTTGGAAGAAATTGGACAAAAGAACATTTAATTTATGAATCGTACTTATTTAACGTTACGTAATCTTTTTTTTTTTCAATTCATTTCGTCGTATTGTAGGTTTTTTTCATACGTAACGTCTTTTGTTTTGTACGATAATTTGTAGGTTTGTTTTCGTTTCGTTTGCCATATAATTGTAAAAAAAATTCATTTTTGTGTAATTCGTTCAGGGTTATTCGAAGTCGTGTTCGAATTTATACGAGGTCGTTCAAGATTAGTTCGCTCGAGATCAGTCATTTTTTGCTCAATTTAATTTGTTAATCGTACTTAGTTTGAGTCAATAATAAAATGTTCAACTAGTGAACAGAAATCCCTTTAGTTAATTTCCAGTACGATTATTGTTACTGTCGCACTTACAGAAAAGCAGCCTGATCCAATGACAGGAAATGAATTAAGAATTCCTTATAGTTAATTTTGTGACCTTAGAAACATGATTGGCACTAAATTTGGATTTATAACTTTATAAATTTTAGTATTTGAATTAGTTCTTCCCACCTTCATTTTAAGTCTTCCCTAAAATCTCCACTCTCCATTTGATTGACAATTGTTTCTTACATCAGTATACATTCATTGGGATAAGAAGTACCCCAGAAGTTTGTGCAGCAGGAAAGATGCTTCAGGGTTGCTTGAGGTACAGCCTACAGCATCTCTAGCTTCTTGAGCACCCTCCAAACTTTCCAAGTGCATCATATCTTGATGAATGCACAGCTGATGTATGAACCAATTGTTTTATAACTTAATCAGTGCAGTTGTTTGAATATTGTTCTCTTATAAATTAAAACATTTTAGAAAAACAGTGCACACTAAATCTGAAATAAATCATCTTTTAGCCAAAAAAACTGTAATGATATAATTTAAAACTTGTTTATAAATAACTTATACCCAAAGTAAAATTAATTACAACATTAGTCAAAATATACTCAGACATCAAGATCTGTTTGATAGTGTGGCACAAGCAGTCATTTACAAAATGAAATTTAGATATAACTGACTTTATTCTCGTGGGACTGAGTGCTTTGTAAAAACATTTTCTTTCAGTATCTAGAAAGAAGATTCTCCTTTAGTGTGAGGATGTTAGGATCTGTAATGTTTGTTATACAAACGGTAAGTGAATATTAATTTCTAGTTAGCATTTACTGGATCCATTTTTCTCTCTGTTCAAGCTTAGCTAGCTATTAAATAAGTTATGGTATTAGTAATGTCAAATCAAAGATTAAATAGGAAAAATATTTATTGTGTTGTCTCAAGTGCAGGACAAAGAAAGTCTGAGTCCTCATAAGGAATCAACCTCAGACCTTCAGGTTCTTCTCTGTAACCCTTTCACCCTCATGAGTGATCAAGACAGAGCATCTCCTTACATTATCAGTACCATACCAAGCAGACAAGCAACAAGAGTAAATAAATATATCAATGAGGGGATACTTGATCCAATACTAAATTCTCCAAATTGGCATTTTAAGAATTGTATGGCAGACAGTAGGGAGAATTGCTGAGGTGATCTTGGGAGTGACAGGGTCAATGCTTGACCAGTGAGCCACAGAGAACTCCTTGGAGAATAAATAGGTCATAGTTAGGAGGCGCAAGTCTTGTATACTGAAAGGATGAGCAATGTGGAAAGTGTCATATGAATTTAAATTATAATATCATTTCTTTAGTGTATACATCACTGTGCATAATAATTAGTTTGTGAAATCTGTATCACAGTTGTTATAATTTCTCATTTAAAATGTTGCAACCAGTGTTGGTTCCTTATGAAAGATTTTGTCGTAGGACCCCACAGACACAAACTTAAGTTAACTTGTGCATCCCACATGCTTGTATTAAAGGCCATTTCATTCATTTGTCATCACCCATGTCATGCTATTTTCCTTTCATTATTGTTGGTCAAATGAGCGCAGTTTTCTAAATTATGAATCTTATTTCAAAAAATTTTTTTTTTCAGGTTTTGTATACTGCTATTGTATTATATGGACCATCACTGACCTTAGAATCAGGTAAAAAAGTATTTGATATGCCAACTGAAAATATTTATATGTGTAGAATATAGAGTGGTTTATTTCAGATAAATATTGTAATTCACTGATCATCCAGTTAATATCTGTGGTATTTTGTATTATTTAGTGACAGGTTTCCCACTGTGGCTTTCAACGGTTGTAACTGGTCTTGTCTGCACTTTCTACACCACAGTAGTAAGTCCTTTTTTAGTTATTTGGTTTTGTTTGTGAAGAATCATTTTATTGCTGGGAACATTGACAATTAACATAAACAGATCTATGTGTAAGCCTCTTGCAATTCTTTAACTAAGCTTTGAAAAAAAGCATTTCAAAACATCTACTTCTAGCAAAACATTTGATTTAACTCTTAAACTCTCAGAGGTGTGGAGCATGTAACTTCTCCCTAAAATATCCATACATTGTCCAGCAAACAGGTAATGAGAATACTCAAAGTTATTATGTAGAAGTTGTTATCTTGATCTAACACCAAATTCTCATCACTCAATCATAAGGAAATCTGTGGCAGCTAGAAGGGAGAATTAACAATTAGATCTTGGGAGTTAACAGGTTAAAAAATCTTGCAGGGACTCAAAAGAGCTGAGAATTGCAGTAAATTACACTCAGGGGACACCATGTACGGTCTCAAAAGTGTGCAGTTACTTAATATACACACACAAGAAACTTACTTTTATATGGTGTATCAAGACCCATTTGGATCACATCAAGTCCAGCAGAGACACTTTGATGGTAATCCAAACAAACATGATAGTAACATTGGTGGTAATCCAAACAAACATGATAGTAACATTGGTGGTAATCCAAACAAACATGATAGTATTTAATAAATTTTTTTTTGTGGTTTCATACAGATTGTGTCTATTTGTTCAAAAACCAGCTGAAATTTAAAAATACGAAAGACAACCTTTTTTTTTGTGGCATCTTGTTTAGACTACCAGTCAATTTGCTACCATTACTATCACAGCCTACAGTTGTAATAAAAGCATGAGGGATCACACATTGTGTACACCCCATGTCACAAGATGCTTGTATAAAGGCTTGCACTAATGATGTTGTAATGTTTATTACTGTCACTGTCCTTAGGGTGGCATGAAAGCTGTAATATGGACAGATGTGTTTCAAGGCATAGTCATGTTAGTTGGGCTGACAACAATTATTATAGTAGGAACGATAAAGGTTGGAAGTCTGAGCAAAGTTTTTGATATTGCTTACAAGGGGCACAGACTTGAGTTTGAGTAAGTTTGTTGAAAAAAATCATGATTATTATCACTATTACAGTACTATCAATTTCATTGATCTTGTAATAACAAAGCAAAGAGAAATAATGGTTTCAGTACAACTAAAAATCATCTCTCTTTACAGTTTTTCCATAGATCCTACACACAGAACCACATTGTGGGTTTTTCTAATAGGTGGTGTATTCCAAATGCTACCTGTCTATGCAACCAACCAGACAGCTGTCCAAAGATTTCTGACCTCAAAGTCCTTTAAGTCTGCTCAGAGGTATATACCGGTAACATTCTGATACTTATTTTCAATAGTAGAAGTAAAGAAATGACCTTGACAGGCAAACTACAATTCCCTTAAGTTACAACAAAAAGAAATTACTGAAATTTTTCTTTTTCCTATAATGGTGTTAGTTTAATTGCAGTGCACATTTAAGGTTCATTTTAGTACATGTGCAATATTCTCAAGTCCAAATGAGATTTATTACAGCTTTCTCAGGAAAATCCTGTTTTTATATTTTTAACCATGGACACACTAAACTAATCTTGCAACCATAAAACTAGTATTGTCCAAAATGACCTTGTCAGTTTATACAATATTCCAAACATGATTTATTTCTTTTACTTGTGAACAGTTATTTTCT